CTGCTACAGCTGCTCTCATCTATTTACTGGTATTTATTGTTATTTTGTTTTTCTGCATTATGTTTTTATCCTTATTTTATTTTTTTTGATCATGTATTGGACCACAATGGAAATTTTTTTCTACATTATTGTCATCCAAGTATTTTTATTTTATGTAACTTTTGTATATATATGTATATTATTTTTACTGAATTAACTCAACTTTTTACATACTAACTTTTATTTACAATTGTATTTATCCATTGTTTTATTAGTGAAATATCCTCATGGTGTGATGTAGCAGGATATCAGAATATGATAAACTGTATTTTAACAAACCAGAAGTATCCATACATCTATATCCATCAGTAAATCCTGACACTGAGCAGTAAAAAGGTCAACAGACCCTCACAGACATGTCTTATATGAGCTATATGCTTTTTCTATTTTGGGATCCTTTCCGTACAATAAAAATATCTGGCTGGAACGAACCATCTTTCACCCACAAAACAACATCGTACACCAGTGATACGTATTAATTACAACACCCCTGTAAGTCTCATCTGATTATATTCCGTTGAATGGAATTATTTTAGTAGGAATTAAAAACTGTTTTTGCTTACAGTAAAAAGATGCAGTTTTGTGTCCACCCCCTCTCTGAACAGTGGTACGGTCCGTGTCCTGCTCAGAGGAGGGAGGGTCAACATGGCGTCCGAGCAGGTCGGTTATCTTCTCTATTTGTTGTTAAATCTTAGATTTATTATCTCCTGCTGAAAAGCGACGCTGTATATTTATAAACCATATAACTTTTATTTAAACGCGTCATGTTTTGTTTCTGTGCTTGATGAAAAGATTATTGTAGCCTGAAGAAGAAGAAAAATAGCATTTGCGTCGTTATTTTGCACAATAAGCATATTAATTAAGATAAACTTATGTGATAAACTACGTCTTTAAGTAACTGTTTTGTACACAGAGCATTAACAAGATGTTTAAAGGGCATTTCTTAGGAAAACTGCTGGAGTTTATTTTTAGTAATTGGACAGACAGGCTGTCGCGAAGCATGAGGTACTTTACAAGACAGAGCTTTTTTAGGTTTTAGTAGGAGAAATATTGAATAAGAAAAACTATTTTGTAGGAAAATAAACAAGGAAAGTATGGGAAAACGCCTGATTTATAAGTTAACAGTTATAGCCAGCCAGGGTTTTTGTTACTGATTAAAATGAAGTACATTAAGAAGGGGATGTATTATTGTATTATCA